TACGTCTCTTAACTTTCACAATGAAATACAAATAGAGAGAGAGAGAGAGAGAGAGAGAGAGAGAGAGATGTGAAGTAAATGAAATAGAGGAAAAAGTTAGTATATTTGAGAGTTGATATAACAAACCTTTGATCGTCTTCTTGTAATTGAATGGTTTGGAAGAGAACCTTAACTTTTTCGTTGTATTTGGCGAAGAAATGATAGGCACAGTTAGCGTTCGTCGGGTACTTAGAGGGATAGTCGGGGCTGTAAAAGGTTCCCCGAACCGAGTCATTGGCTCCGAGTCTAACGAATTGGTAATCACATTGAGAACCGCTGAGCAGTTGTCCATCGGTTTGAAAGAGCGATTTGTTGACGAATTGATACGTTCCGCTAAATCCGGTGCTATTGTTAGGGATGGCATCGGAATGAAACTCAAATATGAGTACAGAACCGGTCGAGTAGTGGACGCTCTGGAACTCGTCCAACGACTTGCCGCACAAAACACTGTTCCAAACGCTGTACTCATTAACACCCGTATCACCCGATCCTTGGTTTAGAAATACTTTTACAAAGTCTCCGCTCAAACATCTATTAAGACAAATACGAGAGATATATAATGTTTTTATAGCAATTAATATATTCACTCATTGTATGACAATCAACGGCAACTCAATTACAGTACATTAACAGACATTTGCGAACAACACTTGAATTGTTTGTATAATGTATTGAGTGTTGAGAAAACCGTAATTCACAACACAATTGAGAAAACATGAGAAAAACAAAACTGCTTTTAATGCTTACGCGTCCGAAGAAATTGCTTTTTGTACACCATTTGAGACATCAAATGAAACAAACGATAATTTGACGATTTGATGGGTGTCTGCGATGAAGACATACAGCAAACAGTCGATACTGTCCTCGTATTGGGTCGGATAGTTGGGTGATGTGAACACTCCGTACTCTTTATTGTATGTATCGTCAAATGTCACACAATCACAACCTATTGGGGAACAAATGCTATTATAATTCATTGTTATATAAATTGTATTTTTAATTAAACATATAGTGGATAGTAATTGGATTATAGTCTGAGTTTCATTAAGTATTTTGTAAATTTCTAACCACAATTCAGATATGAATAATGTGTTTATAGGATAGTTCGGCTACCCCACCCTCCTCTGTCCCCACCCTATGGGATTTAACATACGACCACGGCTTAAGTCTATGACTATATTTGAACATGGGGTTCTTGACTATATGGAGATTTAACATGGGATTACAACTTGATTCTATGGCTACACTTTAACATTTTAAGTTTATAGCAATGATAATCCTATGGGTAATGTTAAGTCTATGGTAATTCTAATCGTATGGCCTAATCTTAAATTTAATAATAATGCTAACCTATTTGCCATCACTAGAATTGTGATCAACGTATAGTATTGCAGTTTGATCCTTGTTTTAAATATTATATGATAAGATAGTCTCTATTGTATACTGTATTCAATCAATTTGATTAAATACTGGCTTTAAAAGCAATGCTATAATAATTCTTAACTTTTATGAAACAATCGATGAATTCTTAATTGAATTCAAAATCATTAATCTTTTCCTTTTTTAAACCTTTTTTGTGTGAAGATTCTTCACTGAAGAATCAGTTTTTGATCAAATATAATATAACACCCAATTCTGCAATCATTTATTACATTAATGTAATACCAAAAAACAGAGACTCAATATTTTATATATGATTTCACACAGAATTTGATAAATTTGAGAATTTTGCCAAAACAATAGAAATTTATGTTCAAATCATTAAAAACATCTCATATTTCAAAATCATTTATTATTTTTCTATAACTCTTTGTTTTGGTAAACGATCTGAAAATTTTTATTTGTGTTCTCCTGTTATCCTATTTTTGTTTAAATAATAATTTGTTTGAAAATATTTTTATTCTTGTTATAAATAATTTATTATTCGTATAAATAAAAGGGTTTAGAAGTCATTTGATAAGAAGAAAAACAAACCATAACTTTTCGGACACAAAATCACTGCAAAACTGCCATTCCTTTCAAATACAGTTGACTTATGTTTGGCTTTTCTAAACATTATTCAAACAAAAACAAATCTTTTGCATACATTTCTCAGTCGAGTAGTGACTGAATCGATATCAAGAATAATCGTGTCTTTAAAACAATGAAAATNTATTTTATTGTAAAAAGTAAAGTAAATAAAGTATTTTATAGTTAGATTTGAAAATAAAAATATGCGAAGACATCGATTTTTATGTCTTTTATTTCTCAGAGTATTGTATGGAATAAAGTGTGGATTTATTGTTGAATTTTAATTTTTATCGACAAAACTCACAAAATTTTCATTGTTTTAAAGACACGATTATTCTTGATATCGATTCAGTCACTACTCGACTGAGAAATGTATGCAAAAGATTTGTTTTTGTTTGAATAATGTTTAGAAAAGCCAAACATAAGTCAACTGTATTTGAAAGGAATGGCAGTTTTGCAGTGATTTTGTGTCCGAAAAGTTATGGTTTGTTTTTCTTCTTATCAAATGACTTCTAAACCCTTTTATTTATACGAATAATAAATTATTTATAACAAGAATAAAAATATTTTCAAACAAATTATTATTTAAACAAAAATAGGATAACAGGAGAACACAAATAAAAATTTTCAGATCGTTTACAAAAACAAAGAGTTATAGAAAAATAATAAATGATTTTAAAATATGAGATGTTTTTAATGATTTGAACATAAATTTCTATTGTTTTGGCAAAATTCTCATTAAATAGTTTAAGACACACTTTAGTATATATTTTATAACTCAGAGACAAAAAACCATAATGTAATTACATTATTTACTAACGTCTTAACCCACAATATAATATAAACTAGTTTTTGACTAAGAAGTCACAAAAAGGTTTAAAAAAGGAAAAGATTAATGATTTTGAATTCAATTAAGAATTCATCGATTGTTTCACAAAAGTTAAGAATTATTATAACGTTGCTTTTAGAGCTAGTATTTAATCAAATTGATTGAATACAGTATACAATAGAGACTATCTTATCATATAATATTTAAAACAAGGTTCAAACTGCGATGCTATACGTTGACCACGATTCGGGTGATGGCAAATAGATGCTAATTAGTATCAGATTTAAGATTAGTTCATACGATTAGCATTACCATAGACTTCACATTACCCATAGGATTATCATTGCTATAAACTTAAAATTATCCATGTTAGAGTATAGTCATAGACTGAAGCTGTGATCCCATGTTAAATCCCATAGGGGGTGGGGAGCCGAATGATCCTATAAACACATTATTCGTATCTGAATTGTGGTTAGAAATTTACAAAATACTTAATGAAACTCAGTCTATAATCCAATTACTATCCACTATATGTTTAATTAAAAATACAATTTATTTAACAATGAATTATAATAGCATTTGTTCCCCAATAGGTTGTGATTGTGTGACATTTGATGATACATACAATAAAGAGTACGGAGTGTTCACATCACCCAACTATCCGACCCAATACGAGGACAGTGTCGACTGTTTGCTGTATGTCTTCATCGCAGACACCCATCAAATCGTCAAATTATCGTTTGTTTCATTTGATGTCTCAAATGGTGTACAAAAAGCAATTTCTTCGGACGCGTAAGCATTAAAAGCAGT